TTTGTTTGCTAATCCTGTGACCTTACTCTTACCCCAAGGGTTCTACAGATGAAGAAATGGGTTACACTTAATAAATGCATTTTGTGTGGTAGAAATTATTTCAAAAGGTAGATCCCACAGAGTATAGCTATAGCAGATTGCAAACTTTAAGGAGACAGAGACTAGGTCTCTTCTTTTCCCTTTTATAGACTCAGGGTCCAGCCAGTGCTTGGTGCGCACACACACACACACACACACACACACACACACACAAGTGCACGCACACACACACACACACACACACACACACACAGACACACTCATAAAATCTATGTTGAATGAATCCATCATGAGAAACTCATAAAAATGGGTCCTTGGTGGTGAGAAGGTTGGGAAATTATCTAAGCATTGTAAACACAGAAACAATGTAAGGTTTCAGTTAAATAAATGTGTGTAAAATGCCTACCACAGGGTCTGGCATCTAGTAAATAAATGGACATCATCATTTATGTTACTGGAGTTAACTAAGCCATTCCATCTTGAAGGTTCCTTTCAATTCTATGTTATTCCAGGACACGTAGTTCAGTGATGAAAGAATATAGATTTTTAAGGGCACCTGGGTGGCTCAGTAGGTTAAGTATCGATTTTTGATCTCAGCTCAGGTCTTGATCTCAGGGTCATGAGTTCAAGCCCTGCATTGCGCTCTGTACTAGGTGTGAAGCCTACTTACAAGAAAAGAGAGAGAGAGAGAAAGAGAGAGAGAGAATATAGACTTTATTCATAATTTTCTAAAACTAGAACAACCCAATCCAAATTCCATCAGCAGGTGAATGGATAAACGAATTGTGGTCTAGCCATAAAACAATACCAACTGGCAATAAAAAAGAACAAAATTTTCTCTCTCTCTCTCTTTCTCTCTCTCTGTTACACACACACACACACACACACACACACACACACACACACACACATCATGGATGAATCTCAATAGCATTAATGTTAAATGAAAGAAGCCAGAGACAAAAACCTATATTCTATATGATTCCATTACATGGCATTATATAATATTTTTAAAAAGGCAACACTATAAAGACAGAAATCATATCGGTGGTTGACAAGAGCTGGTGATACAAGTAAGAGATAAACTAGAAAGGATCATGGTGGAGCTTTTTGGAGTAGTGATGAAAATATTTGATACATTAGTTATAGTGGTGTTTACACAACTATGTATTTGTCAAAACTCATTGAACAGTATACTTTTGAAAAGGTGACTTTTATTATAATTGAATTGTACCTCAATAAACTTGACTTTTTAAAAAATGTAGCATGTAGATTGTGTAGATTGTACTCATACAGATTCAGTTTCAAATTCTGGCTTCATCACTTGTGGTGTAACCTTAAAGATATTTCCTTAATCTCTGAAGGCCTGAGTTTCATCATCTAAATAATATCAGAGGGGATTTTGTTCCAGTTAAGATGGAATTAGCACACTACCGTCTCTCACCCACTGAATGCAGCTATAAAACCTAAAAATGATGCTTGAAGCAAATATTTGAGGTCTCTGAAAAATAAATAGTAGCAAATTAGGAAAGAAGACTAGAATTTTGATTAAACTAAAAGACAGTTTGCCCCCCCCCCCTTTTTTTTACTCCATTGTCTCCCAGTGTGGACTCAACACAGCCCCAACCTGGAAGAGGACATTTACAAGGACAGATAGAAGTCCTCTAGTTATGGCTCTAGGAGCAGGATAAGGGTGTCACCTGAGGGTTTTTCTTTTCTTTTTTTTTTTTTTTCTCATCTCCTTTGCACTAGTCTCCAAGAAACTGTGTAGCAATAGCAGTGACAGCAGTAGCAACAGGGACTCACAGGAACCTGAAACTCTGAGAGATGTGGGACACTTCCTTTCTGATCAGAAGAGATGTGGTCCTAGAGAGGTAGGGCACACCTACTTATTTTTCTCTTTCTTGACCCCAGATGTGGGTGTACTAATTGAAAGTGAGCAGCAGAACAGGATAGATAAGTCCCCATCTTTCTGGTCTGTGCCAGAAAATATTTTAAGTGATAAAAGAAAGAAACTACTAAAGAAACATGAATAAATGGAGAGACTGACATACAATATTCATGGATTGGAAGACACAACATAGTAAAGAAGTCAATTCTTCCCATATTTATCTATAGATTTAGCATAATTCCAGTACAAATTCCAGTGGTATTTTTGCAAATATAGACAAGCTGATTCTAAAATACAGGGAAAGGCAAAAGAATTAGAATACAAAATAATTTAAAAAAAAAAGAATAAAATTGAATGAATCACACTACCCAATTTTAAGACATTATAAATCTCCACTAATCAAGACAATGTGGTAATAGAGGAGGAACAGACATATAGATTAATGGAACAGAATGGAGAGTCCAGAAATACACCGCATAAACCATAACCAATTGATTTTTCACAAAAGTGCAAAGGCAATTCAACAGAGAAAGAACAATCTTTTTAACAATTATTGCTGGGAAATTTATACATACCTACTTAAGAAAGTAAACCTTGAGTTAAACTGCACAATTTATAGAGAAATTAATTCAAAATGGATAAGATCTAATTGTATAACCTAAAATTCTAAAACATTGAGAACAAAGTATGGAGAAAAAGCTTTTTGGTCTTAGGATTAAGCAGAGTTCTTAGATGTGACACCCAAAATACGGTTTTTAAAAGAAAACATTATCACCTATTGATAAATCAGACTCAATGAAAAGTAAAACTTTTCAAAAGAATAACAAGATTAGTTACAAAGTAGGAGAAAGTATTTGCAAATCACATATCTGACAAAGAACTTGTAACCAGAACATATAAAGAACTTTCAAAACTCAACAGGAAGAAAACAAACAATTCAACAACAATAACAAAATAAGCAAAAGATTTGACCAGACACCTCACTGAGATGGATATAGAAATGGTGGTGAATACCACACAAAAAGATGTTTTGGGGGTGAGGGAACTGTTCTATATCTTAATTGTGGTTAAAATCTATAAATGTGTTACAATTCACAGAGCTATGCATCAACAAAAGGTCAAAAAGCCATGATACTTTTTAAAATAAAAGTAAAAGAAAAAATAACATCATACTACGAGTACTTTCCCCATTGGGCTTTGGTGTTTCATCCATGGAAGTACTAATAAAGAGGTGTGTGGGCATTAGCTGTAGTATTTCTTCTTCAATCATTTCCATCCATGAGGAGGCCCAGGTGATGCCCAAAGTAGTAATATACCAGGCAAAGGGTCACATGCTCAAACCCTGGAGATTTGGAGAGTGGCATCCTAAACAAGAAGATCATTCAAAGAATTTTGTCAGTTTGGAGTCTAAACAAAGAAATCCTCAGAATAAAAGGCATAGATATTCTTGGGCTTTTACAACCACACATTACACCTGTAATTCATGCTTCTTCTTAGTTTCTCTCTTAGGTTACGGCATCCTCTTGTGCCTTCAGGCAAAAGAGGTCTTGATTGGTTTGGGACCATGATATGATTCTCTGGCAGCAAAGGAGTGCTTGGCACCAATGTTTCCAAATTGATGCCATGAAATACTAGTTCCAAAAGATGTTGAGAGAGGAGAGGGGGAAGGGAGAGGAGGAGGGAGGGGGACAAGAGGAAGACATAGTCTGGGAAACTGAAAAGTGCTATGTGCTCTGTTTTTCTTTTAGAGATTCACAATGCATATTGATCTATTAATGCTCTGAGAAATCCCACAGCAAAGAAGTCTATTTGCTTCTATTTAATCCAGTTTCCCAAACTCAGCTGACCATGAATTTTTTTTCAAATAACTCTGAATAATAATAATTCAGTGAAAACCCACTTTGGGACATGCTGCTCTACACCAAATCTAGATTATAGACTTTGGTGGCTAAAGATAGACTTGGTATACAGTGATTAATTCTTTCTCCTCTAACTGGGGTCTTTGCCAACTCAGTTTCTCCCAAAATTTAGGGCCAGTTTTACAAAGAGATAAAGTAGACAGTTGCTGACTTGCTTAAATTTCAGGGACAATAGGTAATAATAATTAATAATAATGGCAAACACATACACAATATCCACTACATATCAGGTAATTTCTTAAGCACTTCATTTTTGTTAACCACTTTAGCTGTTATGACAATCCTGTGAGGTAAGCACAATTACTCCCAGTTAGAAGGATGTGCTATTTGAGCTAGGATTAAGAAATGAGGAAGATTTCAGTGAGAGAGTGAACGAGTGAATGAATGAATGAACAAATCCCTTAGGAAAATGAACAGTTTCTGTTATTTTCATGGTGCAAGAGGAAAAGGATTAGACTTGGATGCTGTATTGGCAGGGCCTGCTATTAGCTCTGTGCCTTCGGGCAAATCACTTCGTTTTCTACACTTCAGTTTATCCATCTGTAAAATTGGAATAATAACCATTCATTTCCCAGGATTTGTTTTAAGAATTAAATAAAATCATGTCCGGAAAAGTGCTTCATGTGAAATGCTAAATGTCATAAAGATGTTAGGTTTAACGATGCTTCTTAATTCCTCTTGTACATTGTCTCTTAAGAATTCAATGAGATGAGGGGCGCCTGGGTGGCTCAGTCGGTTAAGCGTCCGACTTCGGCTCAGGTCATGATCTCGCGGTCCGTGAGTTCGAGCCCCGCGTCAGGCTCTGTGCTGACAGCTCAGAGCCTGGAGCCTGTTTCAGATTCTGTCTCCCTCTCTCTCTGACCCTCCCCCGTTCATGCTCTGTCTCTCCCTGTCTCAAAAATAAATAAACGTTAAAAAAAAAAAAAAGAATTCAATGAGATATTTGAGAGCTTACTCTGTGGCAGGCATTATTCTATGTACTTTCTGGATACCATTCATCCATTTACTGTCCCAACAATCCTATAATGTAGGTGTTATTACTATGGCCATTCTGTAAATGTGGAAATGAAGGCACAGAATGCTTCTCGGTTGTCTTGCCAACCATCACACCGCTGTTAAATCTTAGGGCCAGATTCAAACTCAGGGGGTACATGAGCATCCCTGATGAGAGACTAAAGATAGTAAATGATGTCTTCAGTCTGAGCCAATTATTCTACATCAAAAATCAGCTGAGAATGGACGGATATGACAAGGTGAACTTCCTTTGATGGGCAGAGATCAAGACCCCTCTTCTTCACTTCCATCACCAGACAAATAATAAACGTGTGACTGATCATAAGAAACACAGAGCTTGGATTTTCTCTCCCAAAATATTTTCTGCCCTTTACTTAAACCACTGATTAGACAAAAAACTAAGGTATAAAAATATAGAGATTTCACAAGGCCTTTTAAAAAATGGAATAGGTGAGCCTTGTCCTAGTGAAACCCAACCTGACAAGGTCATTGTTAATGATACAAAACCAACAGCTGGATGATAAATCAGAAAAATGAGGCCCAACATTCAGTCAAATCAAGTGGCATTTATCTGCAGTGTAAAGGGCTCTCTAACATTTGTATTTCATTGGTATGAGAGTTCCAACAGAACCCTAAAGTGATTATATAGAACACCAAGGCTTTTTAAGAGTTTCTAACTTAGCAAGCCATGGTAATTTAAAAGGGAACGGATGAACTGCTAGAAGCGAGGAGCTTTCTGCTGAAGAATACAAATGTGTTCTCTGCTATTGCTTCTGCCTCTTTCTGGGGAAAAGCAAAACGCACACGGGAATGTGATGGAACTTTCCAGCTGGTGGTTTTGCATTATCAGGAAGGAAAGTGTTTGTGAAAATGAAAATTACTGATAATTAGTTGTGAATGCCTGTAAGGGAGAAAAATGGAGAACATTGCAGAATCTTCATTTCTATCAAGGGCTGACCCTCATGGGTGGCAGTGTGAATTGGTACAACCTTCAGAGGGGGTTTTAGCAAGGCGCTGACACTTTGACCCAACAATTCCACTTCCAAGAATCTACTTTATAGTGATATTTGCACATGTACACAAAGGTCCTTGTATGAGGATGTTCACCGTAGCATTGTTTGCACGTTTGAAAAATGGAAATGAACTCTGTCAATATGAAAATGTTTAAACAAACGATGGCATATCCATAGTTTAGAAAAATTTGCTACTAGTAAATGGGATGACATAGATCTATATATTTGACACAGAAAGATGTCCCCAGTATGTTAAGTGAAAAGGGCACATTGCAAAATACTATCTGTCATATGATTCCATTTAAACATGTTTTAAGTGTTGGGGCACCTGGGCAGCTCAGTCGGTTAAGCATCTGACTTCAGCTCAGGTTATGATATCAAGGTTTGTGAGTTTGGAGCCCCGTGTCAGGCCCTGTGCTGACAGCTCAGAGCCTGGAGCCTGCTTTGGATTCTGTGTGTGTCTCTCTCTGCCCCTCCCCCGCTCATGCTCGCGCACTCACTCTCTCCATTAGAAATAAAATAAACATTAGGGGCGCCTGGGTGGCGCAGTCGGTTAAGCGTCCGACTTCAGCCAGGTCACGATCTCGCGGTCCGTGAGTTCGAGGCCCGCATCGGGCTCTGGGCTGATGGCTCAGAGCCTGGAGCCTGTTTCCGATTCTGTGTCTCCCTCTCTCTCTGCCCCACCCCCGTTCATGCTCTGTCTCTCTCTGTCCCAAAAATAAATAAACGTTGAAAAAAAAATTTTAAAAAAGAAATAAAATAAACATTAAAAAACTTTTTTTTTAATGTTTTTAATGTTAACATGTATGTAGAAAAATATCTGGAGGAATATGTACCAGAGATTACCAGTGGCTGTTTCTGAGGGATGGTATACATGTTTTTGTAATGTTTACATTTTTATTTGCAAAGAATGGTGAGGGGGGGAATACAAAACAAAGTTGAATTATTTCCTGGAGGGAAGAACGAAAGAAACACAGCTGGTGGAGATTTATTCACTGTATTTGGGTGAAAGGTTTTAGTGTAATTCTGCAGTGAGTGTGTTTCAGATTCTGACAATCTGGGCAAGGGTGCTGTTTAGTCCGAATGCTATTTAGTCCGGTGCTATTTAGTCCAAAATGGCTGTGCTCGTGCTGGGAGACTGAGACACACTGTGTCTCTCTTCCGCCGCCCTTTTTCTGGTCTCTGGGTTGTACCTCTGGCTATTGCTGCTGCTCCTCAAAACCTTAGCTGACAGATTTCCCTTTTCTCACAGGTCGGCCATTTTAGAAGGCACTAAAACATGGTAGTAAACAGCTTGGCCTTTGGAGTTCCAGAGCCTTGGGTTCAAATCCCAACTTCTCCACTCTCCTAACCTTGTGACTTTGAGAAATTTGCTTCTCCTGTTAGGCTGTCTGTTTCCTCACATGAAAAATGAGTTTAGAGAACCTGCCTACTGGGGTCTTTGGAATGATGAAAAGAGATAAGTATAGAAAGCACTTGGGAATTTATCTTGATGAGCCCGCAGTAATATTTGGAACTGTTAAATCACCATAATGAACACCTGAAACTAATGTAACACGGAATGTTAACTACACCAGAATTAAAATTTTTAAAAAAGAAAGTGCTTGGGAATGATAAGTAAATGAACAAATATTACCTATAATTATTGTCATCATGGCCTATCAGTCTCTTTGTAAAACTTCCTTTCATCTATCTTCTGCCTGATAAAATCCTACCCATTCTTCAAGCCCCCGCTCAGATGCCATCACTGCAAAATCTCCTCTGGTCTCTCCCCACAGAGCCAGAATTGATCAACGCTCCCATATCAGAGGTCTCGCCAGATGCTGGGTGCCTCAGCTTCATTACTGCATGTTACGAGTTCTGGATTTGCTTGTCCCTCCCCTTTATAGACCCTGAGATCCTACAGAGTTTGAATTCACATAATTACTTTTCAAATTAAATTAATCTCATCCTTGCCTCTATCATCCGCCAGGCATCTTTAGTTCCCAGTGAAACTATGGTAACAACATCCTAACTGCTCTCCCTCCCCCTGCTTACCCCGTTCTAATCTGAACTAACATTCAGCCCTGGATTTTAGCTCCCCTTTTGCCACAGGCTATTGTGATCCTAAGCACGTTGCTTTCTCTCTCTAACATGTTAGCTTTCTCATCTGTAATGTGGAGATAGTAACTTCCTGCCATCCGGTAGTAGAGGGGACTCCTTGAAAACTGCATGTGAAAGGCATCAACATTACCTGAGTTCACCTATTACCACTTATGCTTTTTGAAAGGCAATGTATGTCAGGGAAGAAGAAACAAGTATCTAAAAAGTCTATGTCCTGGAAGTTAAAGTACATCCTGAATGGCCCTGTGATTTTTATCAAGTGTCTCTAGTTATACATAAACAGGTGAGCTCTCACCTGGGGTCCTATTTCCTCCAGAAATTGCATTTGATGTGCCCTCTGTGAGCCCAATCCCAGAGGCAAAGGGGCAAAGGCTCTTCATCACCCTTAGAATGAAATACAAACCTCAGAGAACATTGGTGCAGTCCTTACCATGCATGAACACTTTCACTGGATTTGAAAAGAGCTTTAAGGGAGAAAGAAAAAAAAAATCACAGCTAAATCTTAACAGTGATCATCTCTGGATGGTGGAAATGGACGTGATTTTAATTTTATGTGTGATTTCCTAAACCCTCAAAATCTTCAATTTTGGAGCTGGGTAGAGACGATGGTAATACAACATTGTGATGTACTGCCACTGAATTGCACATAAAGTGTACACTTTTACGTTAGTTGTGTGAATTTCACCTCATTAAAAATATTCTTCAAGGGGCGCCTGGGTGGCGCAGTCGGTTAAGCGTCCGA